ATAGACACTGGGCAGCCTCTTCTCCTGTAGAGAGTGCCCATCTATTCCAAACTATATGGCTCCCGGCTCCTGCCGGGTCCTGTCATTCTTAGCCGCTCTGCACAGCCCGGGTCTTCGCTGGGACCTGTCGTCCCTGCTTCCCTGCCCTGTGGAGGCTTCGGCTTACCCCACCAGGTTCGGCAGCTCCTCTGGACAGTTTTGCTCCGCTCACCGCAGCTTCCTCTTGCCGCTGCAGCTGCCTGGCTTCCTTCCGGTTCCGCCCCCCTTCTTCCGGACGCCAGCGTCCCTCTTACACTGGTCCTTGCTGCCCGGGCCACACCTACTTCCCCACACCTGAAGATGGTAAGGGGTTGCCCAGCGTTTTGGGCGTGTGGGAGTGAGTCCAGCGCTGCTGCGCTGGGGTGGGAAGCCTCCGATCCAGCCCGCCTCTTCACTCCCTCACATACAGGTATTTCCTTTGCCCCACTAGGTGAGATATTCACAGAATACCTAAGCAGGCAAAACACACTCCATGTTATTGAGAAAAGTGAGAATCCCACAGTATCCATGTCTATCTGACCGGGGAGAAAAGTCCTTTTGAACCCCAATCTGGTGATTGATATGATCCTGAGCATGTGAACAAGACATGTCTGACAGTCATCCAAGAAACGGGTTTCTCTGTACTCTCTTAGAGCACTGCCTCTCTCCGCTGATGTTGCATCTCCAACTGTATCCAATCTCTGATTCTTCAGAAGAATTGGAGGAAAATTAGACAGTATAAAGCTGGCCATTTTTGTATCAGTTTCCTTCCTGAGAGCTGCAGATGACTGGCTAAAGCCCTAAAACATAAAATTTGTGGATAAGCACTGTTTTAATGGAGAACTGCATGTTATGAGCATGTTGGAGGTTGCACGGACAGTCTGTTCTCTCTGGGACCTCAAAGGAAGAAGGAGAAGCCAGGGGGCTCTCAGATTCACGTATTCCAAAGCTACAGGGGATTGTCTGTGTGTATTTGATCACAGAATTTCTCCCAGATACATATCTTTAAAACAGACACTTATTTTCACTTTAACGACTCCAGGCAAAGATGTGTGCACTTAGGAGATCCGCTCTTAAGCAGCTTGTTCAAAGTTGTGGAGGGAGAGGGAGATTTTCAGAGGCACAAAGAGGCCTACCTCTTTGTATTGAAAGTCAAATCTTGGTGTTGTTGAGTGCCTGCCTACATGGCTGTCCAAAGCTGGGTGATCTCAATTGCATTAACTCCCAGTGCAACTCTTAGTTGTACTACACTTCTTTTTTCATAAGACCATATTTCATTTTGAAGTAGACAGAGCCATTAAGTTGTTTAACATAAGTATTCCAATATTTGCTCTATGTGATTTGTGTTGCACCAACACTGTTACATAAAACTCATAGCAAATTAAACTATGCAGCTTGCTTTGCAGGTTTCATTATTTCTATAATTCCTATAACATTTGCCAGTTTGCCACTTGGTGATGCTCTGTGTTTTGGACACATTATTATTTTTCAGAGTGGTATATCTCACATGCACCCAGCAGATGGCATTACCTTTGCAGTTACAGCATTTCCTGTACTGAAAGGCAGAGAGGCAGATTGGTGTTTTATTTCTATTTTTTTCATATTTATGGAAATTGCTGAATGTAAAATCAAACAAGCTGAAGCAAGTTGGTCAAGAAAGTGACAAAATAAGATTGAACTTTTTCTTCACTCTGGAAGTTACTGATGACCTTTTGTGCTTTTAAATTTCAGTTTAATGTTAGGATAAGTTATGCAAAGTCAAGCAAGGCAAACAGATGATTTTGATATTTAGGATGATACAATGTCACAATGGGTCATTATAGTGGGTAAATGAATATCTTTTATTGCTTTCAAATTAGAACTAAAATATAAAAATAACCAATAAAATTTAGCATTAGCTTTTGTTTTAGCTTTATTTAGGAGCAAAGGGTCCATCTGACAAGGAAAAGGCAAGCAAGTAGTCTGATAGCCATTCTATTATACTTGTCTTAGCTATTTCTGACACTTTGACCTTCTCTTTCTCCTAAGTAGAATGCATAATACAGTGAAATGACGGCACTGCTCAAAAGAGAGCAGTGAAACAAAACACTCCTGGCTTACATTGTTGAGTCAATCTGTCCTAAAAGGAGAGGAAGTTGTAGCTATTTTTTTTACAAGAAAAGATATGCTTCCTCCCCTCTTCCCCACCCCACTGAATAAGCTTGACTATTTTGCAGAGCGACTGCTTTGCAATCGTTATTTACCATGTCAGCTCCATTCCTGAGCTGCCCACACATGGTCCTTTCCATCAAAAAACAATACTGTGTTCCCCCTGCATATGCAGGGGTTGGACTCAGAAGTCCTTTCAGTCTACAGTATCCATGATCCTGCCCCATTTGTCAGGAGCACTTAGTATCCAGCCACCCATAGCATTTTTCAAGGAGTCTTTGGCTGTCTGACTCCCACCAAAATGAGGGGGTGTGTTGCAATTATAATGAAGCAATAGCTTTAGTGTTTTTCTGTCACAATGCCCACAATGCCCACTGTGTGTACATTTTCATTATACATTCTGTATAGGGCCAGGTCTTTAGTTAGTATAAATCTGTAGACCTACATCCAAGAAGTTACAACAGTTAACAACAGCTGGTCCTCTAAAAGCAGAGATGACCCACTGTATTTTAGGGTTCATCTTATAACTTTTTAGGCTTCTGAGTCTTAACTGAATGTTCCCAGTATAATTTTTCCAGTAGACACAGGACCACATTTGGGCTATCATTCAGGGGCAGGGAAATGATTCCATTTTATTCACAGGAGGCAGAAGGGGGACATTGAAGCCAAGATCCTTCGGAGTCTGTGAATAGCTTCCCCAAAATTCAGGGAACAGTTATAGCAACAAACTGCATCCTGGAAGCTTCTAGAATCTGATCTGTCACATGGTGCTATGTACTGCTTTCTGGAAAGTTTCTTTTTGTCCTTTAATTTCATTGATTGTTGTATCCTGAGAAGCCAGGCCTCAAAAGAACTTCTTGGTTCTTCTCCCCAGCAACAGCACAGAGAGAAGACAATTGTCAGCACATTGCAATTACACACAGGGTGTGAAGTAGTTAAAATAAACCTAATAGCCTAAAAGTGATTCCTTCTCTCTCCCCGCAACACCCATCTATTCTGATCCAAGACCACTGTTTCTCCTATTTTTCATTCCTACCTAGTAATTGCATTCTTTCATGCTCTCTTTGACTAGGGACAGAAATTACACATAAACCAGTATAAGTGACTGGAAACTGGTTTGGATTGGTAACACAACAGAAATTCAGTGCACATAAACTGCTTTCAAAATGGCTAAATCATTTCTAAGATAAACTTGGTTGGATGTAGTCTCAGACTTAACAGTTTATTGAATTTCTGTCTCAGATCCCCACCACATTCAAGTTAATTCACGGTCCCTCAGCATCCCAGGATTTCATAGATTGTAAGGGGCTGGAAGGGACCTTGCAAGATCATCGGGTCCAGCCCCCCTGCACTGGGCAGGAAAGACAACTGGGGTTGGGTGACCCCAGTGAGGTGACCATCCAGTCTCCTCTAGAAGATCTCCGGAGTAGGTGATTACACCACTTCTGGAGTGAGTTTATTCCACAGTCTGGACACCCTGACTGTGAAGAAGTTTGTCCTAGAGTTAAGCCTGAAACGGCCTTCCAGGAGTTTGTGGCCATTATTCCCGGTTTTCCCCAAAGGTGCCCTGGTGAACAGTTTTGCCAAGCCCTTGATGTACTCCCTTGATGTAGAAATAAGTTGCTACCAAGTCCCCTCTCAGAAGTGGTGATGCATAGGGGTAGCATGTGGGTGCACGTGCACCCCATGAGAGTGCCGGTGCACCCCCTGTCAGGCCGCACTCCCCATTTAGCTGGTGGCAGGGGGGCAGGTGGGAGCACCAGTGCCCCCCCTGCAATCCCCCACTGTGAGTGGCCATGGGGCTTCCGGAAGTGGTGTGGCGGCTTTCACGGTGAGTGAGATCGGGAGTGGGGAACCCCCTGGTTACTGTGATTGGCCCCCTTTGAGACACTTGCCCCCCCTGATTCATGAGGCATCAGTCACCCCTGCCTCCCAGCCTTCTCTTCTTTAGGCTGAAGAGGCCCAAGTCCCTCAGCCTTTTTCTTGTATGGCGTGCCTTGCAAGTCTCTGATCATATGGGTGGCTTTTCTCTGGACTCTCTCAAGCTTGTCTACATCCTTGTTATAGTGTGGTGCCCAGAACTGGATGCAGTACTCCACCTGTAGTCTCACCAATGCTAAGTAAAGCAGATGAAGCACTTCCTTGGTTTTGCTCGGGATGCATTGGTTGATGCATGCCAGAGTATTATAGCAACAAACTGCATTTGCCCTGCTGGCTACAGCATTGCACTGATAGCTCATGTTCATACTATGGCCTATTATTACCCCTAGGTCCCTTTCAGTCATGTTGCTAGTCAGTTTGGCACCAATGAGCCAGTAATAATGGAGCACTTTACACTTCTCAATGTTGAGTTTCATCTGATTCCGATCTGTCCAACTTGCCAACCTGTCTAGGTCTGTCTGTATCTGCAACCTATTTTCAAATGTGACCACGCTCCCCGATAACTTGGTGTCATCTGCGAACTTGGCCAGTGCAATCTTCACCCCCACATCCAAATCACTGATAAATGTGTTGAAAAGCATTGGACCAAGCACAGACCCCTGAGAGACACCATTGGCCACTTCTCACCAGGACGACACAAATCTGTTCATTAGAACTCTTTGGGTCCTACCCCGCAGCCAGTTTCCTACCCACCTAGCTGTCAAGCAGTTAAGCCAGCCATCCTCCAATTTTCCCTTGAGAATGTCATGGGATACCAGATCAAAGGTCTTTTGGAAGTCTAGGTATACAATGTTGTCCTCCTTTCTCTTGACCTGGTTGTAGAACGTGATGAGATTGGTAAGACAAGAGCTGCCCATGATGAAGCCATGCTGGCTGTCATTCAGAATCCTACTTTCTGCAACCATATCGCGCATAGACTCCTTGATGATTTTTTCCAGGATTTTCCCTCGGATAGAAGTTAGGCTAATTGGCCTATAGTTGCCTGGGTCCTCTCTCCTCCCCTTCTTGAGGGCACAACATTGGTCCTCGTCTGGTCTTCGGGGATGTCCCCCAAGTGCCACAAGTTTTGGAAGAGTTTCACAAGAGGTCTCAGGATGACTTTGGCCAACTCCTTTAGCACTCTTAGGTGAAGTTCATTAGGTCCTGCTGACATATAAATATCTAACTTTTCTAACTGATCATGCACCAGCTCAGTATCAACAGTAGGAAGGCAGTCATTCCCACCATGACCCTTCTGAACCTTATCTTATAGCATGATTTTCCCCTTAGTCTGGTAAAATACTGAAGCAAAGTAGTCATTCAGGAATGTAGTTTTCTCCTGAGTGTTGGTAACCATCTGTCCTGAGTAGTTAAGCAGCGGCCCCATGCTTCTGTTTGTTTTCTTCCTGTTCCCTACATACCCAAAGAAGGACTTCTTATTGTCCTTGATTCTCATTGTTAGCTTAAATTCAGCTGCCATTTAGGCTTTCTAATCTTCTTCCTACAAGTGTGGGTCATTGTATAGGCCTCCTTGGGGACTGCCCCAAGCTTCCACTGTCTGTATACCTCTTTCTTCTTTTTCAAGAGGACCGCGATATCCCTATTAAGCCAGGAGGGCTTACCAGCCCTTTTGCTACCTTTCCTCTGCACGGAAATGGTTTTCTTTTGTGCTTTGGGGATCATATCCTTGAGGCATGACCACTCTTCATGCACTCCTTTTACTGTCTGTCCCTGGTCCCACAGCACTTCCTCTGCTATTGTCCTGAGCCTGTTGAAATTCACTTTTTTCAAGCCCAAAACTTCAACCCTGTTAGCTGATTTGCCTGCCTTGTGACGGACAGTGAACATGATGATCTCATGGTCGCTGTTGCCCAGGCTATCCTCTATATTCAGGTTGCTCACCAGATTGTCTCCTTTGGCCAAGACCAAGTCTAGGAAAGAGTTATGTCTGGTTAGCCCATGCACTTCCTGCTTTGCACCTCCCCCACAAACCCCCCTTTCACAGTGTGTGAAACAAGCCTTGGCCCAAGCTGTCTGCTCCAGCCCGACAGGGAGGAATGCTCTAGCTCCCCTTGCCTTCTGGCCTGGGCCATTGCAGGCATGTGACTGCATTTCCAGAATCAAAAGTGAATGTCTGTTCACTTGTTTATCAGTTCAATCTATGCAGTTTAAACTAACCTGTGAAGATTGAATTGATTCAGCCTCAGGCTGACTGCCTGTACTCAGACTTTTTGTCTCTTTTGAGGACCATGGCAGAGGGATTCACCTGCAACTGTGTTATAGCCCCATTGACTTCAACAGTGATTTATGGAGGTCTGCCCTCCTGGATCTTCTGAGATCATAGAATCTGTGAGCTCAGAATCAATGAAGTCATAGAATCTATTATAAACTTCTATGAAGTCATAGACTCTATTCTATGTTGAGGTCATAGAATCATAGAAAAGTAGGGTTGGAAGGGACCTCAGGAGGTCATCTAGTCCTGCTCAAAGCAGGACCATCACCACCTATATCATCCCATCCA